CCCAGCGGAGATTAATTAGCAATTGCTAACAGAGCACGTTGTTTGTTGCACAGAGCCTGCGCCAGAGTGTATCAAGCTGGCAGCAGAGGTGTGGGAGCTGGACAAACAAACCGAAACTGCGGATTCTGCTGCAGAACTAAAGCTCAGGACGCTCACAGTCGCCCAGGTAGCGACCAGCCCCTAACATCAAGTGCATACTAGCTGCTCAGGTAACATAAACAGAACCTCTTGAACATCGTAACATGAACACTCCTCAGGTTAGGATATGCCAGCGGTCACATACCAGTAGGCTGCCAGCATTACATAATAGAGTGGATTCGCGGCAGAGGAAGTATATTTATCCGTATATCTTAAGTATATGTATGCTTTATAACTTCTTATACACATCATGCAGCCTTATGCCCTGTCACATCATTGCCGATTTAGAACAGCGTATTGCCGGACGTATCAAAAATCTCTCTAAAAACGACTGGCATATCGCTGAACTATGCGATGTTTTTTTCAATTTGGTCGTATACATAGCGTTTTCAATACGATGTTGGACGTATACTTAAGCGTCATTAGTAACGATATATAGAAGTTTCGATACTTATAAGATACTTATACCCACGAATCGGGCTTATGTGTTGCCGGTCGTTCACAACTTATGCCCAACGATAGTCTAACTTATGCTAGGCGGCGCGGTAGCGCTATCGACCGACGTATCACCGTGCTGCGCAGGGCCTATAAAACGGCTGCCGCTCCGACGATTCTAAATCCATAACGCACTAGACATCACAGTATCAACATCACCGTCGCAGTATCAACATGCGCAATACCATTTTTTATATTACCGAATTCCCCTAACACGCTGCCAATCGCATTATAACGGTAGCTGTAGTTAGAAACACGTTCAGTAGTTCTGTGGTGCGTCCGGAAAGTCAATACCTCTACAAACGTCAATTATGCGTTGGAGATATAGTTACACATAGGTTCAAAGCAGCGTTAACTCATAAGTTAGAATAAGTTTTGGGTACGCTAGACATTATCTCGACGGTATTTTCGACTTATGAGTAACTTACAAGTAACGTGTGTGAACGTGTGTCAACGATCGCATTAACTTACCTACAACTTATTGGCCGGCGCGTATGCGGACGTATAAGCATGCTCAAAATTTTCCGACGAGCGCTCGCGTACTACACGTATACCAGCGTCTTTCAGCGTGCTTCGCGTGCTTCAAGCGTGCTTCAGCGTGCTCTTTAACTTATATCAAAAGCTTACCCATAACTTATTCGACGTACGCCAGCGTATTCCCAATTTTTTGATACGTCCGGCATACGCTGGCTAAATCGTCAATGTGTGACAGGGTCCACTTGGGCAAGTAATGGGCTTGCGATGACCGTCCGGTGGTTAATAAACCGCAGACGTAGCCAGGAACTATCATTAGTTTAATAACTGGCTTGGGCGAGGGTCTGACAAGGTAAAACTTATTGTCAAGCATCTGGCTCAGTTCAGAGAAGGATATTGACACTTGCTTACGATACTAGGCAACTAAAATGCAATATTTGAATTGCTTGCCGTTGATCTAGGGCTAGGTATAGAGACTAGTAGAGTAGTAGTAGTAGTGCGCTAATTTATTGTACTAACGGTAAATTGTTTGTTTTTGTTAAGGCTCCCCTACTGAGGGAGCATCAACTACGTCTAATGGAACCCCACCCGGGTAACGCAATCGGAGCAGCTGTTTACATTCTGTTAAGCAGACTTGACGCAGTCAAGTCAGAGGGTGCCGTTCACTTGTTATCGGCCCGAAAAACTTGCCCACCACACCGCCCACCCTTTTATTGCAAATTGACTACTGGGCAGTCAGAGATGAGCTTACAACAGAATGCTGCAGAGCCCACTAATCAGTATCAGTCTACCTACAGTCGCTGAGCAAAGCATCAGAAGAGCAGCTTTGAATCACTTGGGCCGGCAGCCTTGCTGCAGCAACTACAGCAATTTACCTCAGGAATTTCAATTGACATGTAAATATATTATTTTTTATTACTTTTAATTACTTTCATTAATTATACGGTCGTTCTATTAATGTTTCGGGATAAAAGGAGAATGATGACTGTAGAATATTTGCTATGATTCAACACATGTCTGCAACTGTTAGAATTGGCTGTCGCAACATAATTTATTAATAGCCTTATCTGATATGTGTGTAATTGGAATAATACTAAAAATGATCTTGTAATTTCGCGCAATAAATGCTGATAGTAGTGTGAATTTATAACAAAGCATTTACGCGAAAGAAACGAACTAAAGTGGCAATTACTTTCAGCATTATAGTAAATACTCATAAGTTTATTCACTTATTATTTTTCAACCCGTTCGCTTTTCATGTTTCATGTTGCATAGAGCGTTGGCCGTCTCGCCTCCTCCACAGGCCGCACCCTCGGTGTGCTACGTTGGCCAACACCCATGTCATCTATGTCCGTGTACCGACCGACCAGGCTCATGCTACGCATGCGTTAACCGCGCAACGGTGGCATGATACCCCGAGTGGCCAAACGCACGGTCGCCGACGACGATGGACGTCGACGCCCGCCGCCGCTGCGCCCACGGCAAGCGCCGCGGCAGAAACACCCGGAATTTTTCCCGCCGTACAGCCGTCGCTACTCAGAGGCAAATAACGGTTGTTCGTTTCACGACGAGGCGCGCTGAGGTTGTCCAGCCCGAGAATAGACGCCGAGCAGCGGCGCAACACGTCGCGGCGGCAAGGTGGCGCGCAGCGCGGCGCGGGGACGAGCGCGCCGCCCCGTCGTGCTGGGCGGCGTCCGAAGGGCGCGCGGCCAAAGGCGGAGGCCGCGGGGCACCTCCGCTCATGAAGCTGCCGGCTGAACGTCGACATGGGACTTCTACAGCAGGACCGAGGTGTGCAACTAGCCGACCAGTGGCAAGGAGAAGACCGACGAGGACCCGGCGCCCGCCGCCGCAGCCGGCGAAGGACGGCAGCTCCGGCCAGCTTCCGCTGCGCCGAAGCAGGTGGCGCGACCGCGGACGGGCGACAGCGTCGTACTGGCGCGGCGAGCTTCTGGCGCTGTCCGACTCGCTCGGGGTCCGCGCGCGGGGCGCCAAGCGGTGACCGCCCGAGATCGCTCGGAGAACTACAGGCAGCGCTGTCGGCTGTCGCTGAGCGAGCTGCTGCGGACCGCGAGCGGTTCGTCGGACGCATCCTGCGCTTGTCGCCATCTTCCTCCTTACTGCTACTGCAACCGCACCTCTCGCGCTCAGCCTCACCGACTCGGCCGTGCTTGGGCTAGCGAAGCTCGGCATGCAGCTGGGCAGCCAGCTGCACCGCAGACTTGCAGACGACGCAGCCGCGGCCTGCGTCGCACGGCGACGCAGCCAGTCGGGGAGCGGGCGGACCCGGTGGCTGCCCGCCGCGTGCAGCGCGCAGGAGGAGATGCTGTCGTCGAAGCGAGGCAAGTACTCGCGCGGTGACGGAGGCTTTAGCTTGAGCGCGGCGACGCGAAGGTCGGGTCACCTGCGGAGCATAGGGGCCACCTGCTGAGCGCGGGTCGCAGACAGAGCGCCGCAGCTCGCCGACCGCTACGGCGCGAACTCGGAGATCCACAACAGTCGGTCGTGAAGAACGGCGAGATCTTTGCGTGCAGGTCGAGGCGGCGCCGGCGGCAAGGCCTGGACGATGTCGCCGCCCTCGCGGCTTGCAGCAGGCAGCAGCTGACCGCCTCCTTTGCCCGACGCGGCGTCAAACTCCCTCTGTCATCCGGACCGGGAAATCCCCGACGATGAGACGGAGGCCCGCGGCGGGGCAGGGGGTGCGCGAGCGGGGGCGAGACGAGGCGGGGTGTCGTCGGACAGCCCCGACCGCACGCCGACGAACGGCTGCGAAGGAGGGAGGCTCTACTCCTACCCGCCGCAGGCAACTTGGAGATGATGAAGCCGGTTGCGCGGGCGCGGATGTGCGCGCCGATTCCGCCCACGCGAGCCGCCGAGCCGTCGCCTGAACGAGCGAGAACGGTCCGAGCGTTTAAAGTCGAAGCGCGCCCGCGGCGACGCCCCGCGACCTCCACCGCCGCGAGCGACGGAGGCGGCGCGGGGTGGCCGACGGTAAAAGGGCGCGTCGCGGCGAGGTGGCGCCGGCGAGCGCAGGAACCGGCGGGCGGATGCGGGGAGGCAGGACGCGGCTGCTGCGTCGTCGCGGCGCAGCTTCCGAGGCGTGCGCCAAACGAAGTCGTGCACAGTTCGCAGATCTCGCAGGAGGGCGGTGAGCGCCGGCGTCGAGCGCCGAGACGACGAGCGACGCTGCTGCTGCGTCCGCGCAGGAGGGCGCTCGCAGCCCTTTCCCGGCGAGCAGGAGTAGCGTGCGTCACATGCGCGTACGGTTCTATTTGTTGTGGGACCGGGTGGACCGTCTCGCACAGCGGCGCAGCGGTTGCCAGCGACGACGCAGGCGAGGAAGAGCGCGCGTCGCCGGCGGAGCGCTGGCGACGGCAGCTGATAGGGGAGCCGTGAGAGGGATACTCGACGCTGTCAAGCGCGGTCAGCGGACGTCGTCGCGAAAGCCTACTGACATCCGCAGCCGCACCGCACTAGCCGGCAAAGAGCGCAGGCAGCTTGCACAGCTCGGGCAAAGCAGGGCAGCTAGCAGCCGCACAGTCGCGGCAAAGCACAGCAGCCGCATAGCCGCGAAGCAGGGGCAGCAGGCAGCAGGCAGCAGCACAGCCCCGCGAAGCAGCAGCTGCAGGCGTACGACGAGCGGCGACGGGCATCGGCGAAACTGGGAGGTGTACGCGTAGCGACCCGCCTGCTGCCAGGAGCTGTCGAGTCCGAAAGACGGGGCAGCGTCGCGCGACTGCTGCGCACAGTCCCGCGCAGCTTCTACGTCGTCGGCCGTCGCGTACGCACGCGAGAGCCCCGCGGCTCGCTGCAGAGCCGCGCGTCGTATCCGTCCAGCCGATCAGGACGAGCGCCGCGCCGGGCGCACTCCCCTAAGCGTCTGGCTCGCGTCGCCGAAGCGCGCGCCGGCGTGCTGGCACCGGCGCCACTTCGGTGAGTCTCCGAGGGAGGAGATGGTGATGGCGGTCGCCGCCGACGGGCCAGCCTCGCGGTGGCACAATGGTCCGCGCCGCTCCCGCCGGCGGGCGAGGCGAGCCGCGACGCGCGCGGATCGTTCTCGTGCGGCGAACGTCGGCGCGGGGCGTCGGCCGCCGCGCAGCGCAAGTCCGAGCAGCGCTGCCGGGGCGGTACGGGGCGGCGGCCGCGGACCGGCTTCATCGACCCTCTCCGGAGTATCGCCTCCGCAGCATGGACGACCTGGCAGCCGTGGGGCGGCGGCGGTGCGGCGGCCGGCGGCGGCGCGGTGACTCGAGCACGGAGTCGGCAGCGAGCGCCTCGCTGCAGTCGCACCCTGAGCGCGGAGCGCGTGCACCGCCTGCGCGGCGTGTTCGATACGGCGGCGGCGGCAGCGCTCGTCTTGATCGGGCTGGACGGATACGAGCCGCGCGGGCTCTGCAGCGAGCCGCGGGGGCTCCGGTGGTACGGCGGCGGCGGCAGCGCTCGTCTTGATCGGGCTGGACGGATACGAGCCGCGCGGGCTCTGCAGCGAGCCGCGGGGGCTCCGGTGGTACGGCGGCGGCGGCAGCGCTCGTCTTGATCGGGCTGGACGGATACGAGCCGCGCGGGCTCTGCAGCGAGCCGCGGGGGCTCTGGTGGTACGGCGACGGCGACGACGTAGAGCTGCGTGGGCTGTGTGCAGAGTCGCGCGGACTCTGCCCCGTCTTCTTCGGACTCGACAGCTCCTGGCAGAGCGGGTCGCTGACGCGGTACACCTCCCAGTTGTCGCCGATGCGTCGCCGCTCGTCGTCGCCCTGCAGCTGCTGCTTCGCGGGGCTGTGCTGCTGCTGCTGCTGCTGCTTCGCGGGGCTGTGCGGCTGCTGCTGCTTTGCCGGACTGTGCGGCTGCTGCTGCTGCTTTGCCGAGCTGTGCGGCTGCTGCTGCTTTGCCGGGCTGTGCGGTGGGCTGCGGATGTCAGTAGGCTTCGCGACGACGTCGCTGCCGCGGCTTGACAGCGTCGAGTATCCCTCGTCACGGCTCCCTATCAGCTGCGTCGCGCGCTCGCCCGGCGACGCGTCGCTCTTCCTCGCATGCGTCGTCGCGGCAACCGCTGCGCCGCTGTGCGAGACGGCGTACGCGCAGTTGACGACGTACTCCTGCTCTCCGCCCGACGGCGCAAGCTCGCCGCTGCGAGCGCCCCCTGGCGGCGGCGCAGCATCGTCGTCGGCCTCAACGCGGCGCTTCACCGCCTCCTGCGAGATCTGGAATGTGACGACTTCGTTTGGCGACGCCTCGGAGCTGGTGCCGGACGACGAGCAGCCGCTGTCCTGCCTCCCCGCATCCGCCCCCGCCCCCGCCGGGTTCCCTGCGTCGCCGGCGCCCCCTCGCGACGACGCGCCCTTCTTACCGTCGCCACCCGCGCGCCTCCTGTCCGCTCGCGGCGGTGGAGGTCGCCGGGGGTCGCCGGCGGGCGGCTTCGACTTAAACGCGTCGACCGTCTCGTCGTCCGGCGACGGCTCTGCGGCGTGGTTGCCCACGGCAACCGGCTTCATCATCTCCAGCTGCTGCGGCGGGTAGGAGTAGAAGCTCTCCTCCTTCGCAGCGTTCGTCGGCGTGCGGTCGGGGCTGTCCGACGACACCCCCGCCTCGTTCTCGCCCCCGTCGGACCCCCCTGCCCCCGCCGCCGGCTCCGTCTCATCGTCGGATTTCCCCGGTCCGATGACGAGGGAGTTTGGCCGCGTCGGGCAGGCGGGGGTCAGCTGCTGCTGCAGCCGCGGGGGCTGGACGTCGTCCAGGCTGCCGCGGCGCGCCTCGCTGCACGCAAAGATCTCGCCGTTCTTCACGACCGACGTGTGGATCTCCGAGTTCGCCGCTTGGTACGTCGGCGACTCGGCGCTCGTCTGCGACCCGCGCTCAGAGGTGGCGCCCTCTGCTCCGCGGTGACCCGACCTCGCGTCGCCGCCGCTCAAGCTCAGGTCCGTCACCGGCGAGTACTTGCCCTCGTTCGACGACAGCATCTCCTCCTGCGCATTGCCACTCGGCGGCACCACCGGGTCCCGCCGCTCCCCGACTGGCTGCGTCGCCGTGCCGACGGGCCGCGGCTGCGTCGTCTGCAAGTCTGCGGTCAGCTGCTGCAGCTGAGCGAGTTCGGTGCGCAGCACGGCCGAGTCGGTGAGGCTGAGCGCGAGGTCGAGTGAGGTAGAGTAGGAGGAAGAGTTGGCGACGAGCGAGGACGCGTCCGACGACGCTCGCCGGTCGATCAGCTCGCTCAGCGACAGCGACAGGCTGCTGTAGTTCTCGAGGATCCTCGCCCGGTCACCGGTGGCGCCGCCGCGTGGCGACCCGAGCGAGTCGGACAGTGCCAGAAGCTCGGCGCCGTACGACGCGTCGCCGTCGGTCGGTCGCGCCACCTGCTTTGCGCGCGGGAAGCTGGCGAGCTGGTCCTTCGCCGCGGCTGCTGCGGCGGCGGCGGCCGGGTCCTCGTCGGTCTTCTCCTGCCACTGGTCGGCGTAGTTGCACACCTCGTCCTTGCTGTAGAAGTCCATGTCGAGTTCGCGCAGCTTCATGAGCGGGTCCCGGCCTCCGCCTTTGCCGCCGCCGCCCTTCGGACGCCGCAGCACGACGGGCGGCGCGCTCTCCCCGCCGGCGGCGCCACCTGCCGCCGCGACGGTGCGCCGCTGCTCAGCGTCTATTCTCGGGCTGGACACCTCCAGCGGGCTCTCGTCGTGAAACGAACAACCGTTCTTGCTCTGAGGTAGCGACGGGCTGTACGGCGGATCGTCGGCCGCGGGCTTGCCGTGCCGCGGCAGCGGCGGCGTCGACGTCGTCATC